TTCTTCCCATAATTTACTTAATGTTTGCTATTATAGCTAACAAGTAATCATTTACAAATTTTTAAAGACAATATCTTATGCATACAAGGATAATATAAAAGGAAATATCAAATTAATTTGCTTTTTTAAAATAAGTTTTCAAATAAAGGTCAATATGGAAATATATCTGTAGAATTTATGATGGTTCACTTTAAACAAATTGACCACAAGTACTAAAGTATGACTCATAAGAACTCAATTAACCTTATTGGCTTTCTTTAAAATTGCATATGGGTCATGACAAACAACTGTGATGAAATCTCAGGCAGAAGGTTTTGTGGCTTTCTTCACTGGACATTATAGTGAGAAGGCAAAAATGAAACAATGGATCAATATATTTTATGTTTCATTTTAGGTTCAGAAAAAAATACAAGATAGAAAGCAAAATTTCATGGATCACCTAGATTGGATAAAAATATTGTTATGTATTTGATTAGTTTAATAAGTTGAATCCAAACTTAATACAGTTCACAAAAAAGCCATCAAATTTTCAAAGTCTGGAAAGTAGATGGCTAATGTCTGTAAACTTCTGGTAAACTTGTCTGTAGATTCATTTGTCCCTGCTGTTCTCTATTATTTATTCCTTTAAAAGTTATGGAACAATTCAAATCATCTAGTTTTTTATGACTCGGTTTGGTACGTATGTATATAAGTTTACCTAATGATTTATTCACTTCGCTGTTTGTTAGTCTTCTCAGTGGGCTCAGTTTGGCAATATTGATCTTTCCAGTGGTCTGATATGCTGTTAGCCCATCTACTGAATTTGTAAATTCTTTAGTTATTTTTCATTATTAGATGTTCTATTTTGTTGCTTTTAATTCTAATTTTCTACACAATTTTGACAGCCTCTTACTTTGTCACCAAATTTTCAGGGCCATCTTCTGTTCATTTATATTTCCTGGACGTTCTGATATCTTTGTGGGAGCAATTCACAAGATTTGTTCTTTCATTTTGCTCTGTTTCACGGTAATTTGTTTACTTTTCTGTTAAGAAATTTGTAAATTTTAGCTCATGTTTCCTAGAAATTTTTCCATGGGATTTCTTTGAGGCTTACATTTAAGGCAGATTCTTCTAAAGAGGGTTTGCTCTGCCTCTGCCTGGCATCTCTATCACTTTGAATCAAAGTTTAAGTTTGGGTTTCTGGGTCACACAGATGGTGTAAATTTTAGCCATATGTCTTTGTCATTTTAGGCTGTGGTTTTAAAATCTTTGAAGGGACTTTTTTTGCTTTTATGTGCTTCCCACAGCCAAAGCTAAACAGGAAATATCCTCATAATGAGAGTTCCTCCTGGGACCAGTGGCTGAATTTTTCTCTCTTTCCTGTGGAAACAACTCAAGTGTCCATGGATAGAAGAATGAATAAGCAAAATGTGCCCTAACCACAGAATGGAATATTAACTATTCAGCCTTAAAAAGAGGAAATTCTGACACGTGCTACAACATGGATGAATCTTGAGGACGTTATGCTGAGTGAAATAAGCCAGTCACAGCAGCATGACTCCATTTATTTGAGGCACCCAGAGCAGTCAGAATACAGAGACAGAAAGCAGGATGGAGGTGGCCAGGGGCTGGGGAGAGGAACGGGGAGTTACTGTTTACTGGGGACAGAGTTTCCTTATGCATGAGGAACCGAGTTCTGGATATGGATGGCGGTGATACTTCCACAACAATTGGACTCACTTAATAGAACTGAACTATATACTTAAAACTGGTTAAGATGGTACATTTGATGTTATGTGTATTTTACCACAATAAAAAAAGGAGAAAAAAAAAGGTATAGTCACTGAAATGAAACCTTCACCAGAAGGGCTCATGAACAACAAAGAACCAACACACTTAAATACAGGCCCCTTCTTATTACCCAGTGCAAAGGACAGAAAGACAGAGGAGGAAGAACAGTCAGCAGAGCCGCAGGGACTGGTGGGACATCATTAAGCAATGTGTGCATAAATTTAAATCTGAAGTTAATGTATCACCCAGCAATTCCTTTCCTATGCACATACCCAAGAGAATTGAAAACATTTGTGTATAATAGCCCCAAAATATAGAAACAACCCAAATGTTCACCAACTGATGAATAATTTTTTTTAAATGTGGTAGAACCATGCAAGCAAGCAAAAATTATTTCGACTTATGTAAGTGGAGAGAAGAAACAAGTCTCCCTTACAGAAGTGTCCCGAGTACTTTATGTAGATAGATATTTTTACCTTCAAGGGGGTGGGCACGACTCCCCACCTTTACATCAGGCTGTGCATAGCGACTTCCTTCCAAACAGTATAGTATGGAAGCGGAGTGCTATCTTCTAGAGGAGAAACCTGACAAACATTCTTCAGCTGGGCGATCAAAGTCACCATCAGCAGCAATCCATCATGGGATAGCCTGTAACCTCTACATGATGTAATGAGAGCTGTGCTTTACCTCTGTTGTCTTCCTCCTATGAGCCCATAACTCCATTTGATCGTAAGAAAAACGTCATATAAATCCCAACTGAAATGCTTTCTATAAAAACCTGACCAGTGCTCTTCAGAACTGTCAAGGTCATCAGGAACAAGAAATGTCTGTGAAACTGTCATCAACAGTGTGATACGCTGGATGGCATCTTGGAATAGACAAAGGGAAAATTATGGGAAAACTGATGAAATCTGAAAAAAAAGTATAAACATTAATTAATAATGTGTCAATATTTGTTCATTCATTGTGGCAAATGGACCATATAAATGTCAGATATTAATAATAGAGGAAACTGGGTGTGGTATATTGAGAACCCCCTGTAGTGTCTTTGAAATTTTTCTATACATTTACATCTACTCTAATTTGAAAACCTTATTTTTATTAAAAAGATAGAAGTATGAATAATCACATTAACCTGGTATTTTTCGGTCCAATTCACACACAAGATTGATCCAAGTTGCTGATAAATAAACATATCTAGTGTTTAAGTGACAAATGCCAGGTCAGGGAACCCATGCCTCTTCATTCACTTTAGGGAAGTGAACTTCTGAATTATTACATGCAAATTTCTGGGACCTGGCCCAGAAGATCCAGCTTAGAGACCTCAGTGACTGGTCAGCTGGACCGTGGTTCTTACGTATATCGGGCTCACATGCCACCTTGAAAAGCTGAACAAAGCTACGGTTTCTCGTTTACACACTTAGACACTTTCACGTGGTGCTTTGCATCTCTTAGTCCAGAATTTAAAAACCCGTCTAGTCTGTCTCACCCATTTTGTAGATGAGGGAACAGAAACATATGCTGTTGCTGTCTTACAGCGAGGGGACACGGCACTAGAAACGGGTCTTCTGACTTGGGAAATGTGCTTCTTCCACTGAATCAAGCCAGCGACTATTGAGTCTGCCTTAAAAACATGCCCTTGAACTTGTTGCGTACTACTCCCACCTGTGGGCTGTCCCTGCCCCATTCTTATCTTTTCAAGTCCACGATCTGTGTTTACCCTGACACTGGCTTCCTAAAGTATCCTTCTGTCTGAGTCACTCTTGTGCTTATAACCATTCAGAAGTGTTGTTGTTTTTCCTGTGATTAGCATCATGCCGAATGCTTCGCCTCTCTGTCCAACTCCATCTTTCCACTCCCTGTCTTGAAAGGACACATCTTTCTGTTTCTTTTGTGGATATTTTTCTTTCTGTTTTTCATTCAAAATATAGCTCTACACAACACTAGCCTGTATCTTTCATATTTTCATGCTCACTCAAACTGTAAGCTAACGATGTCTTTGTCTGTGTATAG